TTTTTTTTGTTTTGTTTTTTTTTTTGGGGGGGGGAGGGGGGGTTGGGGGGTGTCAGATGTTTTGTTGTGCTATCCCAAATAAATTTTTTGTGAATATGTATTACCAGATTTACATATGGTGGTCCCAGCAAAAACACGAAGTGTGGATTCATGACCAGCTAACACTGGGTAATACAGCCTGACAGCACGGCACCCACCCAAGCTTTCTATCATTAAGAACACATGAGAAAGTAACACATAGAAACTTGACTGCAGAAATTACATTTCTTTCCTGCCTCCTATCATATCAGAGAAATCTGCCTTAGTAAAGAAAGGTATGCATCGCCTTCTCCTGCAGAGAGAGCTGGAAGCTCATCTTACTAAACCACACTTGTTACATATTATCGACCACACACAATACACTTATTTCTGACCTGTAGCCATGATAACCTTCCATCCCTCTCCCCAAACACACCGCCCTCCCCCAGCCCCGCCAGTTAGCACAAGCTGCCACCATGACTAGTGCTGGGGGGAAACATCTGCTAAAGGGCTGGGTACAACATGGTCAAAAAGAGCTAGGGTTATGCAAAGGAATGGCTAAGAAAAACGACACAACGCTACCAAAACAGGTACAATGGCCTGATGATTTCAACATGTCCCCTTCTGAAATCATTCATTTCCTTACCAAAGCAGGGGGGTGCTTTCAGAGGAGCCTGTATCCCAAATGGGAACATGAGAACATGTCAGACATCTGTATTTCAGTCTTATTGTTACCACAGTTGTCACCGAAACTTCAGGGTTTGTACCCAAAAGGCTGTACTTGCAAAGATGAGGGCTGATACTTCCCTTGAATTACAGGGTCACAGAAACTAGCATTGTGAGACATTGCTTTTTAAAACAAAACAAAACAAAACAAACAACACAAAACCACCACTAAACCACTGAAGAATCACTCAGCATGGATACAGCTATGGTACAGATAATTGCTGCCAGTTAACCTCAAGGCCTGATCCCTCATCAGATTTGATAGCTGCCTTGG